TTGTTTTTCTTTTGTTGCCTGTGCCTTTGGTGTCATATCCACATGTCCAAGAACTCATTTCCAAGTCCAATGTCATGAAGCTTTATAGTTGTAACTCTTACATTTATGTCTTTGATAATTTTGAGTTAATTTCTGTATATGGTTGTTTGCTAAAGGGTTAAACTTCATTCTTTTGTATGTGACTATCCAGTTTTCCCAAAACTTTTTGTTGAAAAGACTGTCTTTTCCTATTTGGAGAATTGGCACTTTTATCGAAAATCATTTTACCATATATGTGAGATCTAATGTCTGAACTCTCTATGATGTTTTTTTGGTCGTTAAGTCCGTTTTTCCCCCAGTACCACAGTTTTGATTACTGTAGCTCTGAGTAGATTTTGAAATCAGGATGTGTAAGTCCACCAACTTTCTTTTTCTAGAGTTTTGGCTATTGAGAGTCCCTTGAGATTCCAAATTTTAAAATGGATTTTTCTTTAAAAAAGAGTAATTTTGATTATGAGAGGAGTTACATTGACTGTAGATTGCTTTGGGTAGTACTGACATTTTAACTCTATTAAATCTTCCAATCCATGAACAAAGGATATTTCCCCACTTATTTATGTCTTCTCTGATTTCTTTCAGCAATAATTTATAGTTTTCAGTATATAAGTCTTCCATATTCTTGGTTAATACAATTCCTATATATTTTATTCTTTTGATTTATTATAAATGGAATTGTTCTCTTATTTTTTGAATCATTCATTATTACTGTATAGAAAAGTACCATTTGATTTTTAAATAAGACCTGTGTATTATACTGATAAAAAATAAATGCATCAAAAGGAAAAGAAATACACTGCAATTCTTCAGTGCTCATGCTTAATCAGAATGGAGGTAAACTGCATTTAAACACCTGAAACTATTCAATCATTCTGAATTTAAAAATTTAAAAATACTGACATTTTATGTTGTTCAGTATGATGTACTGTAAGAATAAAGCTAAATATCCGTGTATCTTTCTTTTGTGCGGCAGGGTGTTTGTGTGTGCGCGCGCGCGTGTGCGAATGTGTTTTACTGCAAATAGAATTTGCTTCAGTCTAAGAAAAATACAAACCACACCCTGTAACATTTCACCAAGACGAGAAGTATCATCAGAGAACTATCTTGTGCAGCTATCTGATTTCCTACACTCTCTTCTCCACATATATATGTTTTGCCAGATTCTTTGTCAGTATTTTAACTAAAGCAAAACTCCCCATCAGTGTAGATGTTCAGTAGATGTTCTATATGGGGATTCCGACCTGGACTGGGAAGGTAAAGGGAAAATTTAGTGGACTGTGTTAATTCTTTTGCTTCTGCCATATTAAGATAATAGGAACTGACGATGCCAGAAGACATTTGGGATAAAATAACAAAATCAACAACAGCATAAAAATAGTACAATGAAAACTTTTGGCCCAATAATTATATTCAAGTCAGCCAAAGTGTCTTTGCTGTATGCTTAAGAAAGTATAATGTGGCCCGTCTGGTATGGCTCAGTGGCATCCATACACCAAGTCACTGGTTTGATTCCTGGTAAGGGCACATGATTGGGTTTTGGGCTTGATCCACAGTTGTGGGGGGAGGGTCATGTAGGAGGCAGCCAATCAATGTTTCTCTCTCATTGATGTTTCTATCGTGCTCCGGTTCTCTCTTCCTCTCTCTCTAAAAGTTAATAAAAACACATTAAAAACAAAAAGAGCCGGGACCGGTTTGGCTCAATGGATAGAGCGTCGGCTTGGGGACTAAAGGGTCCCAGGTTCGATTCCGGTCAAGGGCATGTACCTTGGTTGCGGGCACATCCCCAGTAAGGGGGTGTGCAAGAGGCAGCTGTTCAATGACTCTCTCTCATCGATGTTTCTAACTCTCTATCTCTCTCCCTTCCTCTCTGTACAAAATCAATAAAATATATCTAAAAAAAAAGAATGCGAGGAAAGTCTGCATTCCCACCAGCCATGTACTAGGGTTCCCTTTTCTCCACATCCTTGCCAACACTTGTTGATATGTTAATGATAACCATTCTGACAGGAGTGAAGTTATATCTCATTGTTGTTTTGATTTGTGTCTCTTAGATGATTAGTGACTTTAAGCATTTTTTATATGTCTCTTGGCTTTCTGTATGTTCACTTTGGAGAAGTGTCTATTGCCCATTTTTTAATTGGATTGTTTGCCTTCCTTTTGTTAAGTTGTATGAGTTACCTATATATTTCGGAAATTAACCCCTTATCAGATGAATCATTGGCAAAGCAGACTGCTGGTGGTAATGCAGACTGGTATAGCCACTGTAAAAAACAGTATGGAGTTTCCTCAAAAAAATTAAATATGGAACTTCTTTTTAGACCCAGTGATTCCACTCCCATGAGTTTATCTTAAGAATCCTGAAATAACATAAAAAAGAATATATGCACTCTTATGTTCATAGTAGTGCAATTTACAATAGCTAAGATTTGGAAACAGCCCAAGTGCCCATTAGCAAATTAGTGGCCTAAAAACCTGTGTTACGTCTACACAATGTAATACTATCCAGCTGTAAAAAAGAAAGACCTTTTACCATTTGCAACAGCATGGATAGAGATGGAGAGCATTATGCTAAGCGAAATAAGCCAGTCAGAAAGATAAGTATCACATGATCTCACTCATAAGTAGAATCTAACCCACAAAATAGATCCAGAGACACAGAAGTATGGGACACACTGTTGAATCGCAGAGGGAAAACAGGAAGGGTGGGTAAAAGAGATCAACCAAAGAACTTGTATGCATGTAGGCATAATTCCTGGACAAAGATAGTAGGGTGATGAAGGCCTTGGGTAGGGGGAAATGAAGGGCTAGAAGAAGTCAATGGGGGAAAATGGGGAACATATGTAATACTTTCAACAAATAAAGATTTAAAAAAATAAGAATGTGAGGAAAAAGCCTCATGTAAGAATGTAAGAAAAAGTTAAAAATTACTTTTATAATTCCAATTGCCTACACAAATTTCAGACAGATTCTACGAAAAAATTTTGGGAGACTTCTTTTCTTCCATCTATCAATCAAATACTTACTGAATCACTATTACATTCCCATTCCCAACAGTATGCTCGGCACTAAGAATACACACACACACACACACACACACACACACAAAATAAATGTCCAATCCCTGCTTTCAAAGAACTCAGGTGGTAACAAGCCATGTGTGCAGTGGTAGAGAGTACCTATTGCACCCTAGGTCAGGAGTAGGTTTTTAAGAAAGATGTCAGGAAAAAAAGAGGTCACCTGGAGTTGAATCTTAAATATGAATAGGAAGTAGAGATTACCTATAATGTACTGGGCATTGGGCTAGGTGTTCAGGCTACAAATATTAATGAGAGAAAGTCAGAACATAGGTCAGTAAGGGAAAAAAGGTAATATCAAAACGATTTACACAGTAATATTAAATGTTGTAAGACATGTTATAAAAATAGAGAACAACAAACTTGGTGGGGAAGAGGAACACAGCATAAAAAAGGTGGCAGCCAGAAGTTAATGTGTGAGTTGAATTATGAAGAGTTTGCAGATATTCAATAGGCAAGTAACACAGGGAGAAGGGTATTCCAGGCAAGGAGCAATAAACAATGAGCATTGGAACAAATGTACAAAAGTGTGACATGAAAGTCTAGCATGATTAGGAATCTACATGTGATTTAGTGTGGCTGAAACTTAAACATAGGCTATGCAGCAAAAAGAAGTGTGGAGAGGGCAAAACAGTGAGAAGGGTAGGAAGAAATCATGTTATAAATTAAACAGGAAGACACCAGTGCTCTCAAGTGGTTACTAAACCTTCATATTTCTTTTGAAAAGCTTTATTTTTTTAAAAATGAGTTATTAAGAATTTTTCTTACTCATCTGTAAGAATACTTGATACACTAAATATAGTAACTTTTGTCATTGCAAAAGTTCTTTAGTTCTAAGAGTTTTAGTCATCTTAATTAATAAAAGTTTTAAAATTTGATATAGTCAAATTCATTGCTTTTTTTGTAATTGATACCACTGTTTTTATGTTTGGAAAATCCAGTTGTAAGGTTATTGCGAGAAATATCATGAAAAGCAAAATGAGGAGAAGGAAGGAAGAACTAAGGTAGATTCAATATATATTTAGGGAATAGGAATATGAAAGAAGAGAGATTCAGTGAGAAAGTCACTACTTCACTATCTGGGAGGCCAGATGCTGTAGAGCAGTAGTCAGCAAACTCATTAGTCAACAGAGCCAAATATCAACAGTACAACAATTGAAATTTCTTTTGAGAGCCAAATTTTTTAAACTTAAACTTCCTCTAACTCCACTTCTTCAAAATAGATTTGCCCAGGTCATGGTATTTTGTGGAAAAGCCACACTCAAGGGGCCAAAGAGCTGCATGTGGCTCCCGAGGTGCAGTTTGCCAACCACAGCCTTAGAGGACAACTTTTCAACAAAGGAGATTGAGTTATGAAAGGAATACCAGAGAAGCCAGTTAATCTTCAAGGGAGACAAGGTCCAAAAGGCATCAACAGAACATTTCATCTTTCAAAGACCTACAAAATCCCAAGTTTTCTCTTGGTTAAGTCCATTAGAAAGTAACTTTTAACACTTCAGTGTATTGTAGTGAATGTTAACTTGGATAGCTTCATTAAAATGCCAATTAACAAACTGGGTTTTATTCTAATTCCACATAATTCAAATCACCAACTCATTTCTTCCTCCCTAAATTTTATCTTTAGCAGATCTACTTTTTACTCTAAAGTCTATGGCTACTAAGAAAATTAACATAGTAAAACAAGTTAAAGAAACACCTTTTGGTAGTTTCAACATCTCTCTATTTTTTGGCTTTTAAGATATCCTGAAGGCCTGACCTTAGCATAAGTTTTTTGACATACAAAGTTCCTGAGAAAAACAGTGAATAAAGTATAGATATCTAATTTCATTACCTTATAAGAAAAGTAAAATAATCTAAATTCATTTTGGCTATGGAAAACAGATTACTCACCTGCGACCACATTCTGAATATTTACCAATATTTTTTAATATTAAGGCAGCTGTTAGTCGGATGTGTTTAGTTATTGGTCCCTCTTTTTCATCCTTAAAAAAAAAAAAGGAAAAGAAAAGAATAAAGATCTAAATCACACAATGCTCACACCTTTACAGGAAAGGCTTTCAAGGCTTACTTACTGTAAAATCTCGAAAGACGAGGTTTCTTGATCCTCTCCGCAGAGCCATAAGGGCAGCACTGGGATGGTTCACAATGGCCTTTTGTGCTCTAGGAGTTGAGCTTGTGCCCCCTACAACTGGCTGCCTAAATTGTCAGACAGAAAGAGAGACGGTTAGCATGCTGCTGCAGACTGACCATGACCAACCTGCCAACTGCAGGCAGGTACAGGATGAGTAAAATCTCCCATGGCCCAGCATTAATATTTATTCTTTGTGTGAGCCTAGGCAAAGGGACTCTTATTATCAGGTGAAATTTCAAGTGTTTTATTTTCCAATTTACCAATTTTAAAGCAAACAATAGATGTTCCAGCATAAACCATTTTTAAAGTTACTATGCTAGTAAACAGGCAATAAAAATAAAAACAACATAAGTCAGATGGAAAAAAGACAAAAACAATATGATTGTACTCATGTGGGATATGAAACAGAAAGCAACGAATGAAAAACAACAATAGAAAACAAACTTATAGACACAGACAACAGTATGTTTATTGTCAGAGGGGGAAGATGAAGAGGGGGAGGAGACTTAAACATATGGTGATAGAAGGAGAGTGGTTTTGGGGCAATGAGCACGCAATGCAGTATACAAATGATGTATTATAAAGTTGTACACCTGGAACTTATATAATGTTATTAACCAATGTTACCTCAATAAATTTAATTTAAAATTACAGCATAGTATCAGTTTGTGGAGTTTACATCATTGAATGTAATGTGAAGATATTAACAAATAAAAACGTTATCTGCAATTATTTTGGCTAAACAATACCAAGACTAAAATAATATTACAGAAGAATGTATTGCTGAAACTGGTTTGGCTCAGTGGTAGAGCATCAGTCTGCGAATTGAAAGGTCCCAGGTTCGATTCCGGTCAGGGGCATGTGCGTTGGTTGTGGGCACATCCTTAGTAGGGGATGTGCAAGAGGCAGCTGATCAATGTTTCTCATCGATGTTTCTAGCTCTCTATCTTTCTCCCTTTCTCTCTGTAAAAATAAATAAATAAATAAATAAATAAATAAATATTTTTTTAAAAAAGAATGTATTGACATAGGTATAGGTCATCCAGAAAAAGATAGCCTATTATAATATTAGAGGCCCAGTGAATGAAAATTCATGTACTGGGAGCCCTCAGGGGCAGGAGATGACCCGGAGATCAGGGGAAGGTGACGCCCCCATCACACCTCTGCTGCTGCCACTGCTGGCAGTGCAAGCCTCGGGCGGCCCTGGTTACCTGAGCCTCAGGCAGTTGTGGGTAGCTGGGCAGCCACCATCCAAGGCTTGCTTGTACCTCTGGCTGGCGCCTGGGTGGTTGCGGGACTGAGGAGACTGGGGGACTCTGGAGGCAGGCATGTGGGGCAGGCCTCGCCTTACCACATGCCTGCCGCCCCGGCGGGGCTGAGGGACTGGGTGCCACTATCTTTGTGAGGGTGTGATGGTCTATTAGCATACCGGTAGTCCTTCTTTATTAGATAGGATAAAAATATGTTAAACAACACACTTCAAAGTATTTGTTATATAATCTTATTTTTCACCATTATTTAATGACTCTAATCAACCCTTTCAGTATAATTCTAACATCCTTTTTAAAACACAAACTGAAGGAATGAATTTTACCTAAAATTAGATTCAAACTACTATAAATTTCCTTGGCAAGCAGAAAATGGTATGAATATAGCTTTTGTATTCTGCTGAGGCCATGATGGGAAGAGCACTGACTTGCATGTGAGGGAATCCTGTCTATTTCTGGTTCTATCACTAGTTGTGTGACTTTGAATATTTCAGTTTGCCCCTCTATATTTTAGGTTTCACATTTGTAAAGTGGGGGTATTTCTGGCACTTTTTTACATAAGTAAAATGATTCTGAATATTAAATAAGTTAATGTAAAAGCAATCTTTGAATTATAAACCAGTTTACAACTATATATGGTTGTCAAAAGAAAAGAATATATACTGTTATTAGATTTTATGTATAAACTAGAGGCCTAGCACACAAAATTTGTGCACTGGGCAGCGGGGTCTCTCAGTCCAACCTGCACCCTCTCACAGTCTGGGAGCCCTCGGGGGATGTCGGCCTGCTGTGGAGGTGAGAGAGCTGCCCCCACTGCCACTGCACTCGCCAGCCATGAGCCGGCTTCTGGCTGAGCGACGCTCCCCTGTGGGAGCGCACTGACACCAGGAGGCAGATCCTGTCCTCTGGTGGTCAGTGCACATCATGGTGAGCAGTGAGAGGCCTTAGCGTTCATTAGCATATTACGCTTTGATTGGCTGAACAGCCAACCAGACACTTAGGCTTTGTATAGGATGACAAAGATTTTTGATTGATTGCAATCGATACACCAAATCTCTCTTCCTCCAAATTTGAGCAAAACCAAACATATTCCAACATATTCTTATAAGCTACATAATATATACAAATTAAAGACAGTGAAAATTATAGGAAAAGATATTGGTAGAAAAATGACTTTCTGTTGCCCGTAGGATAAAACTCAAACACATGATTATAGCTTATGAGACCTTTTGCTATTTACTCCTTATTCTTTGGGTCTCAGTTTGGAGGTACTTTCTGTCAGAAAGCCTTCCCTGATTGGTTTAGTTGAGCTCTCATATTACATTGTGCATCTCTTCATTTTAGCACTCTTATACTATATAGTAAGACTTACCTACCCCTCTCACTGGATGGATCTGCAGACACTTAAGAACAACAAAATGTACCTTAGTCATGTATACCTCATACTATATCTTAGCGTCTAGCACAGAGAGATGCTCATTAACAGAAACTGAATAAAGTATGTAAGCAGATCCTGTAGTCTCATATTTCTAGTTCTCCTTCTAGAATATCAGCTCTGAAGTTAGAGATTATGTCTTATTCTTAGAATTCCCTAGGTCTGGCACAATGCCTAGTACATTGCACTGTCTTAATAAGTGGTGGCAAATTAATTTTCACATTTTGGAGTTAAAAATATTATTTAGGTTGCAAAATCTATAACTAAGGCCCTCAGAAACCGAATAGGAGATACATAAATCTAATAAGGAACTTACAGATATCTGCAATTCAGAACTCCATTACATTCATTATAAGTATGTGAACTGTAAGAAGAAATATCTGCCATTATCAAATACATGTTCAATTACTCTCAAAGTATAAAAAAATAGGGGAGGGCAAAAGTAGGTTTACAGTTGTTTGAATGAAAAATAATGCAATAATTAATAAATAATACAAGAATAAACTAGCACATTCACAACTGTAAACCTACTTTTGCCCACCCCTGTATATAGTTATAGATTACAAAATATTTCTCATATAAATATAAAAGTGATGCTTAGCGTATTTAATCAATTTGAATAGGGTCACATAGCTGGTGAATGGTAGAGCTGGACCGGAACACAGGTTTCCAGTCCCTAATATTTCATTGTTAATATGTTTTGCCCACTTTCCTGATTTTTCTTTCTGTATATAAAACAGGAAGTAAACTCATGTTCCTTACTTGGTAGAAGGTTTTTGACTTCCTGCTTGTCCTGGTTCATCTTGTTTTAATCCTGCAAGCAGGGCATCCTTTGAACAGTGCTTATCCTTTTTGAGAAAGAGGGAGTAAAAGAATATGCATCAAAACCTTTAATGCAAAAGAGTTAATGACCAAACAGTATTAAGAAAGTGTACCTGTAAGTGGGTAATAAAAGAAAACCTTTGTCGCTGAAAAGGCTCACAACCTTCCCACAGACATTGCCCTGGATAGACATCTTTTCCTCCATGTTCAGTCGCTGCATGGTAGAAAACCTGTGAGGGTGTCTGAAACCACCTGCAAAAAATAACCACCACAAAATTTCTGACAATGAATAAAGACTTTATAACAGAAAACTTGCTCTCTTAATACAAAAGCCCCAGAACAATATACAGAAATATTAAGCAAAATAGTGCAAGCAAATTTCAAAGAATATTTTGAAACTATCTTGAAATAAATTTCTCTGCATATATGTCCATGTTAAATGGTTACCATGAACACTTCTGGTTGTTTTCAGTTTAATGTTTCATTAATTCCCTACCCTGAATGAAGGTCAGCTAAGAATCTTTTTAAAGTAAATGAAATATCATTTTAAAACACAATAGAACATTCTTTTATATACAAATACCATTCTCCATTATACTTTTAGAAGCTACTCAAACATTTACATGTAATATACTCTAGCATATTTAATCTAACAATCTAACAATTTAAATGCTAAACATCTTGGTAGGTCTATCTTTTCATTGAATTCACATTTTGTATGTTTGTCCATGTCTTGAATTTCTCCAACATCACATCCTATTCACTCATATACCCTGAGGCTTAACGATACAAGTGTCTGAGAGAATAAGTGGCAAGTATACAACTGTGAAGAATGACAAATACCATTTCTCTTATTAATTAGAACACATAGCAATGAGAGAGAATACTGGGATGCAAACAGAAAATAATACATTGAAAGACTTCGATTATTAAGTAGTAACTCAAATATTTGCACAATCAATATCTTTAAAGTTTATGGCAAAGCTCCCCTTAGGATTTGATTTTTTAAATGTCATACAAACACACACACACACATTTTAAATAGAGAAATTTTGTTGCAATGGTTTCTATTTTGTATGTGTGTATTGTTGTTTTTTAATTCTCACCCAAGGATATTTTTTCCTTTCATTTCTAGAGAGAGAGGGAGGGAAAGGGTGGGCAGGGATCAAGCCTGCACTGAGGTAAGTCCCTTGACCTGAATCAAACCCGTGACCTTTCAGTCCTCCATCCAACGAGCCAAACCAGCTAGGGCTAATAAATTTGTGTACATTTGAACCAATTTTTGATGTACAGTATCTATACAGTATTTTAAATTAGTAAATAACTGTAGGAAATAACTGACATTAAAATAAAATTTAATAAAGAGTAAATACTGAATTATAAGGACAATGTCAAAATTATTATAGACTAGAGGCCCGGTGCATGAAATTCGTGCATGGGGGGTGGCCCTCAGCCCAGCCTGTACCCTCTTCAATCTGGGACCACTTACTGTGATCGGGCCTAAATGGGCAGTCGACATCCCCTCTCACAATTCAGGACTGCTAGCTCCCAACTGCTCACCGGCCTTTCTTCCTGATTGCCCCTAACTGCTTCTGCCTGCCAGCCTGATCACCCCCTAACCACTTCCCTGCCAGCCTGATTGATGCATAACTGCTCCCCTGCCAGCCTATTTGGCCCTAACTGCCCTCCCCTGCAGCCCTGGTATCCCCCAACTGCTCTCCTTTGTAGGCCTGGATCCCCCACAACTGTCCTCCCCTGCAGGCTTGATCGCCCCCAACTGCCCTTCCTTGTTGGCCATCTGTTTGCCCCCAACTGCTCTCCTTTGTAGGCCTGGGTCCCTCCCAACTGCCCTCCCCTGCTGGCCATCTGTGGCGGCCATTTTGTGTCCACATGGGGGGAGCCATCTTTGACCATATGGGGGCAGCTATCTTCTGTGTTAGAGTGATGGTCAATTTGCATATTACTCTTTTATTAGATATTTCATATCATTCATATTCATTTATATAAATAGCTACCAAAAGTTTATTGTGAAGCTATCATAGTTGGAAAAATTCGTATTAAAATCTCTACAGTAGCCAAAGCAATCTACAAATTCAAATAATCCCTATTAAATTCCAATGGCATTTTTCACAGAAATAGAACAAACAGTACTAAAATTTGTATGGGAACACAAAAGACTCCAAAGAGTCAGAGCAATCTTGAGAAAGAAGAACAAAAGCATAGGCATCATGCTCCCTGATTTCAAACTGTAAATAACAAAGCCATACTAATTTAACAATAAGATACTGGCATAAAAACAGACATAAATCAATGAAACAGAACAGGACAGCCAGAAAAAACTTATGTATTATCAATTAATCACAACAAATGAACCAAGAATATTCAATGGAAAAAGAATAGTCTCTTTAATAAATGGTGCAGGAAAAACTGGATAGCCCCATACAAAATAATGCAACAGGACAACAATCTTACACCATACACAAAAATTAACACAATTAACTCAAAATTGATTAAAGATTTGAATGTAAGACCTGAAACCATAAAACTCTGTGAAGAGAACATAGATGGAAAGTTCCTTGACACCAAACCAAAAGCAACAAGAGCAAAAATAAACAAGTGGGACTACATCACATTAAAAACTACACAGCAAAAGAAACAACACAATAAAAAGACAATCTACTGAATGAAAATATTTGAAAATTATAAATCTGATAAGAGGTTGATATCCAAAATATGTAGAGAACTCATATATAATTCAATAGCAGAAAACCAAACAATCTAATTATAAAAATGTGCATATGATCCAAAATTTCTCTATTTAAAATGTGTGTGTGTGTGTTTATATGACATGTTTTCCTAAAGAAGACATACAGTTGGCCAGCAGGTACATGAAAAGATGTCCAACATCACAAATCATCAGGAAAATGCAAATAAAAAAACACAATGAGATGACACCTCATACCTGTTAGAATGGTTTTATAAAAAAGACCAGAAATAGCTAAGCCAATGTGGCTCAACTGGTTGAGCATCGACCCAGGCACCAAGAGGTTGCCAGTTTGATTCCCAGCCGGGCACATGCCTGGGTTTCTCACTCAATCCCTAGTAGGGTACATGCAGGAGGCAGCCAATCAATGATTTTCTCTCATTGACGTTTTTATCTCTCTCTCCTGCTGCTTTCCTCTCTATAAAAATAATCAATAAAAACACTTTAAAAAAAAAAATAAGTGTTGTCAAGGATTGGAAAAGCAGGAATCCTCATGCACTGCTAGTGGAATGTAAATTGGTACAGCCACTGTGAAACACAATATGTAGTTTCCTCAAAAAATTAAAAATAAAAGTAGATCATATAACCCAGCAATTCCACTTTTGGTTATTTATAAAATAAAACAAAAATATTAACTAAAAAAGATATTCAGTGTAGCATTATTTACAATCGCCAAAATTTGGAAATAATATAAGTGTCCATCAATAGAGGAATGGATAAAGAAAATGTGGTACATATATACAATGGAATAAAAAGAATGAAATGTTGCCATTTGGATGGACCATGAAGTCATTAATGCCAATTGAAATAAGTCAGCCAAAGAAAAATATTGTATGACCTCCCTGATATATGGAATCTAATAAACAAAACAAAAAGCCCACACAAAGCAAAACCCCAAGCTCCCAGATCAAGAGAACAGGTTAGTCAGAGATGGGGATGGAGGTGTGGGCAAAATGAATGAAGGGAGTCAAAAGGTGCAAACCTCTAGTTATAAAATAAACAAATCACGGGGATGTAAATCAAAAGTTTCAGATAAAAGTAACATTGCTAAGCACATTTTTAGTTTTGGAATTTCTTTTAATTTTCAGTACCATTGTCCCCCCTTATCCATTATTTCACTTTTCACAATTTCAGCTTCCTGTGGTCTGAAAATAGTAAATAGAACATTCCAGAAAGAAATAATGTAGTTTTAAATTGTGCACCATTCTTAGTATCATGAAATCTCGTGCTATCCAGCTCCTTCCTACCCAGACATGAATCATCCCTTTGTCCAATGTATCCATGCCCTATACACTCCCTGCCAATTAGTCATTTAACAGCTGTCTCAGTTATCAGATTGTCATAGCATTGCAGTGCTTGAGTTCAAGTAATCCTTATTTTACTAGCTCCATAGCATGAGTAGCAATGCTAAAAATTCAGCTATTCTAAAGAGAAGCCAAAGTAGTTCCTTCAAAAAGGTGAACATTCTCAACTTATTAAGGAAAAAACTGTATGCTGAGGTTGCTAAGATCTATGGTAAGAATGAATCTTCTGTCCATGTAATTGTGAAGAAGAAAAAAAAAATCCTGCCAGTTTTGCCGTTGAACCTCAAACTGAAAAAGTTATAGCTACAGCATGTGAAAAGTGCTTAGTTAGATAGAAAAGGCATTAAACCTGTGGGTGGAAGACATGAACAAAAAATATGTCCCAATTGACAGCAATGTGTTGCATCAGAAAGCACTGAACTAGACTTCAGCAAGTGATCCTAGAAACGAATGACACTAAGCTATTTACTGCAACTGCAAGTAAGGGATGGTATGCAAATTCAGGCGTAGGTTTAACATTCTACCATCTTAAAACATCACAAGAAGGGTGAGTCAGCACAATAAGATATTTGAGAGAGACTACAGTTATATAACTTTTATTATAGTACTAGAGGCCTGATGCACGAAATTTGTACACTCAGGGGTGAGGAGGAGGTCCCTCAGCCTGGCCTGTGCCCTCTTACAGACTGGGAGCCCTCAGGTGATGTCCGACTGATGGCTTAGGCCAACTCCTTGCCATCAGTCAGACATCCTTAGCGCTGCTGGTGGAGGAGGGAGAGGCTCCTGCCACTGCTGCTGCGCCCGGCTTCTGGCCGATCGGCACTCCTCCTGTGGGAGCACACTGACCACCAGGGGGAAGCTCCTGCATTGAGCGTCTGCATCCTGTGGTCATTTGTTCAGTCAATTTGCCTATTAGCCTTTTATTACATAGGATATTGCTATAATTGAGAAAGAGAAACATGGATTTCATTCGCACTGGACCAGCAACCTGGGTCTGTATGTGCCCTGACCAGGAATTGAACATGCCACCTTTTGGTGAATAGGACAGTGCTCCAACCAACTGAATCACCCTGGCCAGGCTGTGCCTAATTTTTTGGGGTTTTTTAATCCTCACTTGAGGATTTTCCCATTGATTTTTAGGGAGAGTGGAAGAAAGAGGGAAAGACAGAGAAAAACATTGATGT